GAGGAGAGGAGGAGGAGGAGGAGGAGGAGGAGGAGGAGGAGGAGGAGGAGGATAAGGACGAGGCGGTCGACGAGGATGAGGACGAGGACGAGACGGCGTCTTGCGTGGCTCGGGTGAGCTTCTTGGGTTTCTTGGGGGGCCGTTCAGGGGGCCTCTTGGGTGCCTCTCGGGTGCCTCTTGGAGGCCTCTTTGGGCATCTTTGTGAGCTCTTTTGGTCTCTCTTGGGAGCCTCTTGGGAGCCCTGGAGGGCCTCTTGGGGCCATCTTCGAGGCGGTCGGTCAAAAGAGGGGGGGTCCTCGATGTGTGCCCACGTTCCCCCCCCGCCCCCCCTTGGGGGCCACGATCCTCGCGAGGGATGTCAGAAAGTTGCCCTCCCACTGGTCGAGAAAGGAGCCTCCGACACCTCGCGACCATTCAAATATCCCAGGGAGGGGAGGGGGGGTGCTCCCCTTGCCAAAGGGAAGAGGGATTGTGGAGGAAAAAAAGATCACCCTTCGACCACGTGTCGCCCAAAGGGCTGGTGGGATAATCACAACGTGCCTTCCCTAGTTTTTGCTGGGCAGGTGTGTCGGCAACGAGGCCCTGCGATTCCGTCAGTGGTGGGGGAACCTCAGACTTCGTGCTTTGGTGGGTGGGCTCTGCGGCAGGCTCTGCGGCAGGCCCTTGCTTCCCCAACCCCTTGGCCCAGATTGTCTTGCCCAGGGTCCACGTCGTTCTCCAGGAAATGGAGGCGCAGGCGGATGAGGACGAGGAGAAGGAAGAGGAGGAGGGTGAGAAGGAGGGTGAGGAGGAGGAGGAGGAGGAGGAGGAGGAGGAGGAGGAAGAGGAGGAGGAGGAGAAAGAATACCAGGAGGGCCTGGAAGTTTTGTGCCGCACCAGATTCTGAACCCCAAAGTTCCCGGGAGGCCCACAGGGGTCCCCAGTGATCCCAGAAGGCGTTCGGAGATCGAAAAATCATGGCATCAACACAAACGTAAATCATCTCCGATCCTCGATTCTTGAAGTCGTAGGCAATACTTAGCACCAGGAACGCCAGGCGAAGGATGAGGAGGCGGTGGAGTGCCGTCAGCGGCAGAAAAGGCGCAGGCGGCGCAGACCTGGTCCGAGGAAGGCTTCTCCCCTCGGGGTTGCACAGGGCAGGCAGCATGATCCACATGCGTGCCCGACAAGATGTTCAGAGTGTCTCATGGCTGTCGGACTTTCGTCTTGGCCGAGGTGCCTTGAAGCCGACACCTCCCTGGCCAAGCTGCGGGTGGCCCCAGACAGTGATCACCGACCACCACAACCTCAGCGACGTGGAAGCGGAGGGCTCGGGGCTTCCAGGGGTGGCTTCGCGACGACGAGCCGAGAACCCTGGACTCTGGGCTCAAAGCTCTTGGCCTCCGACCTCCGCACCCCGGCTCTGCGAGCGGAGGGAGGCCGAGAGCAGCAAACAGCAGCACGGAGGCAGCGGAGGGGAGGAATTCGGTAGCAGATCATGGGGGCCTGGCATACCCTCTGAATTCCGTCTTTAGCGTCGACTGGCGTCGATTAGCGCCTGGGAGTCGACGAGATGGCGCCGATGTTTGCATCGGTTAGCGTCGATTCGCGCCGACTAGCGTCGATTCGCAAGAGCCGACAAGATGGTATGGGAGGTTCCCATGAGTTGCCACCGGAGAGGGAGGGGAGGAGAGTTCCGATGTCCATGCGCGCGATGCTGCTCGGCCCTGTCCAGCGGGCGGCTCTCCCCACCTCTCAGAAGCCGGGCGAAGGCTGGCAAACCCGTGGCTGCTAAAACGGAGCTCCGCGACATTGTCTTTTTCTCTTCCGGGAAGCAGCCTGTTTACTATTTAGCGCGCTAGATTTAATTCCAGTGATTTGTTGTTTCTTCCGGGAAGACTATTTGAGCAGCCACGGACTTGCCAGCCCTCGCCCAGCTTCCGAACCTCCCGTCCGCCAGCTGCCCCTCCCCCACTCCCCTCCCGTCCTCCCCCAGGGCGCAGAGCTTCCCTCCCCTCGCCTCCTTCCCTCCTCCCCTCCCTTCCCTTCCCCCTCCCTCCCCTCTCCTGAGCTCCTCCCCTCCCCTGCCATGCCCCATCTGGCCCTCGAGGCTTGCCGTCGCGAGTTGCTCGTTGACGCCTTGGGCGCTTCCCGGATGGCTCTCCGCAGGCTGGGCCGCAGGCCTGCGGGAAGCGCTGCAGCAGCCCTCCGCAGCAGTGCCGCCAGCGGCGCTTGCCGAGCCCCTTCGAGCGCCCTGCCGCTGCCCCTCCCCCCTCCCCCTCCCACTCCCCCTTGCCCCCCCCCCCCCCCCCGCCCCCTCTTGGGTGCTTCCTCCCCCCCGCCCCCTCCCCCGCCCCCCGCCCCCCCCCCGGGACATCTCCTCCCCTTGCCAATCTTTCAAGGCCTGGCTGTCCAGGCAGGCCTGCAACCGGGGGCCACGTGCATGCATGGGTGGCTGTCGTGGGAGAAACGTCCTGGACTCTCTTCCTCGGCGGCGAGCGAGGGGGGGAAG